ATATATATATAAGAGAGTGTTTATTGTAGTCCATAGAGCAATAAAAAGTGTTTTCTAACTGATTATTAAAACATTTGTATATATTTGGCAGTTAATGCATTACTTTTGTTTTTTAGTCATTATCAAAAATTGATGTTCAAATTTTCTGAAATTTGAAGGTGTATTTAGGGTATATTTGTTCAACTCTTCAATTTGTCTTCACTACAGTTCATATTAAATGCTCATAAGAAAGCATCCCATGTAAACATAGCAAAAGTGTTTCATATTAACCACATTTCTCTCTTTAAAAGTATTAGATGTTAATGCTGATTTTAATCCGTTTGAGCTTTCACAAGCCTGTTAATCCCTAGTCTATTTTTAGATGTAGTCTGGGTCAGATGAAAACAAAATGTGACTTGGCAGATTGTGAGACACTCCTATAATAGTTTTATTTTCTCTATATACAGTGTAGAAAACTGGACCATGGTTGCTCATGTGGTCAGTGTTGATACACAGCTCTGTTTGTTGCTAGAGAGCAAAAATCATGTCTAACAGAGGAACAATAAGTGGAAGCGCTGAAACACAATCCCATACTTCATCGAAACGTACAATTACCCAGCAGGTCAGAAAGGGGTTTCCACAGAGATCACAGATCTGACTGCTAACACGAACACTTATAAACCTCACCGACCGACCAACTGATGTGACAACGGCACAGAGAGCAGGTATGTCAACCTTCATGATCTTCACTAATACTCAAAGTAGTTTAATCTGACTGAAAGAGTCTATAAAGACTAGTTTAAACATTTAACTTATTTACATCATTTACTCTTTTTCTTTTTTTTTTTATCTTGACGGTCATAGCTGTGTTATCGGATCATACATTTCTATAAATTAATAATTGATTTGCTAGATTAATATATTTTATATTTATAACCTACTTGTAGAATTAAAGCAGTTTCCCTGCGGATGACTAAACATTGATATTATTTTCTAGAACCGTTTAATCAGAAGAAAGAAGACCTCAAAAGCACCACGGTATTTTGAAACAAGATAAATAATATTTTAACTCCAGCAAACACAAGGGCGCCAACATGTTGTGATGAGTAATAGGCCTATATGCTTATTTTATATTTCCATATTTATTATTATTACTACTACTACTACTAATATATATATATATATATATATATTTATATATTACAACAGTAGTCACATAAACTGTGTGAGTAACTGCATAATTGTATTTTTCTTGTATGGTTTATTGTACATTTATATACATTTATTATAAGTTTTGTATGTTAAATCTTATTTTTAACGTAAGAGCGCTGCGGCCATTTGTAAGAATGTGCCAGGCTTCCAGTTATTTTATCTGTACAAAAACAGTCCGTTATGCTGCTTAATGTTATTTATTATCACATTATTTTTAATTAATTATAAACACCCTGGTTAGTAGCACAAGTAGTTTCCCCCTTTACTGCACTTCGTTCTAGCTATTTACTTATATCGGCTAATACAT